TCCTCCACTCCTCCTCGCTATCTACAGCGCAGAGCGGGCGCCTGGCGTGGGTTTGTACGTTTTTGTCATTGTTTTGCAATTCTACCCTGGCTTTAAACTACACTCCCTGCCGTGCTCCGCAGACTACGGCCACTTCCAGAACAACCAGGGCAGCGCACCACAGCCGTTCAGCCGCGGAAACAACAACCAGAACAGCAACCGGCCGCAGCCCCAGAACGTTGAGATCATCACCCAGCCGCAGCCCCAGCAGCAGCAACAACAGCAGCAGCAGTCTCAACCTCAGCAGTCGCAGCGACAGTCCAACACCTACGTGTCCTCCAGCTTCAACGTGCAGGCCCAAGACTCGTATGCGCCCACAGTGTCCTCGCAGGACTACAACGACAACTACAACGTACGTCCGCCAGCGGTAGGATAGAACACGGTCTTGGGAAGACATTTTAACTACTGTGGTCGGCTTGAAAGATTTTAATGTGGACTGGGCCAGGCGGACGTACCTGGCTCAGTCATCACACATTTGTTTACACTTCCTTTTGCATGACCCTCTGCAATGTTTAAAATGGCCCGCCTCTGACCGGCCTCCTCGGGGGCAGCGCCAGGGTGTGAACTCGTGGGGCCCAATCTGGGCCCAACCCTGCGCAGCCCCGCACTCACGGTTTTGCTTTACCTGCAGGTGAACGTGCAGTACGACGTCGACGACACCTTCCCGCAGACCAAGCCCTCCAGGTAGGTGACGTGCACGCAGCTTTCCGCGCGCGCCCCTCTGAGTCCGTGTACAGAGGAGGAATGCACCTCGAGCGTCTGCCCTTGTGTGTATGTGTGTACAGTGCTCCTATCATCCTCCCAAATCCAATTATAATGACTGTAAAATTCGCAAAGTGCAACAAGGCTTTGTCCTTCGTTTTGTAAAAAAGAGCAACAGGCAACATGCCAAAACATTAACAACGCATCAGATACGTTCACGTTCAATTGTGTTTTACTGAAATCGTCTTCAGAAACAATTATTGAAAAGCAGTCAATTTCCAAAAAACAGTTGAAGCCTAGTGATGTTCTGGCATGTCACCCCTGATCTCCTTTGTTCCAATTAAGTGTTTCATTGTGTGGAGTCACTATCGGATGCCAAAAACATGTCAACGGAATACATTATCCATCAGTCGCGAACTGCTGGTGGAGTTTACCCTTCCCTCCCCATATCTCCCTGGTCGTGATCGCCCACAAGTATTTTGGTTTCGGGACGCTTCTGCACACCATGTCGCCATTAGCTTCACCTCCGCCCTGCCCTGCGCGCCTCAAACAGAACACGTTGACTGCCGCTCTCTTTCAGGTGTGTCGTGGAAGGAAGGGCCGTGTGTGCGTGCGCTTTTAGAGGGACCGGTCGGCCTGGTCCTGAGGTAGGGGTGAATACACGGGAGATATGGCCCCGCTCCGCTCCGAGCATGAGGCCGTGCCGCCGCGGGCTGGTCACATCAGCTGCTCGCCCTGCTCAGGCCTGCCTGGTACTAATCGTCCTGTGTTTTTCTCCGCAGCCACAGACACCCGAACGGACTGAAAAGGCAGACCGATCAGAGCTCGACACCGCACTCACACTCTGCACAGGATTACTTCACCCCCTCCAGCCCGTTCCCGTTCCCCAACTTCTACCAGAGCGACCGGTTCGTCCCTTCCTCCTTCCCCTCCCAGCCGCAACGCAAACTAGAACCAGAACGCTCCTCTAGCGACAGGCTCGCGCAGCCCCCGCCATCCCCGCCGCCCGCTCGGCCCTTCGCTTTCCCCGACAGGAGCTTCGCCCTCCCGCCTGACTTCCAGCCGTTCTCCTCGCTTGACTTCCCCGCCCGCACCCAGCAACCCACTCCCAGCCCCAGCCCCAGCCCCAAGAACAGCGAAGCTCTCCAGGCCCCCAAGGAGGTTCGCATCCTCCCCAAGTCTCAGTTCGCCGCCTTGCAGCAAAGCGTGCCACCCACGCCGCGTCCCGCACCCTCCGAGCTCCGCATCGTCGCCAAGGCCGCGACGCCCAGCGCCAACCAAAACACATCGCCCACTGCGGCCCCTAACGCCTCGGAGGTGAGGATCTTGCCAAAGTCCACGAACAACCCGGCAGCCCAGAAGTCGGAGGCAGCGTTCCGCGAAGAGTTCAGCAGGTACAACTACTACGACACAACTGGGAGCCCCGGCCAAGGATCCGCAGTATCGTCCACACAATCCCCGCGGTGGGTGCCCCTCGAGGTGTTTGCCGGGTTCTTCCAGCAGCCCAAGCAGAGTCCGGTGCAGCAGGCTCGGCCAGTCCCCACGCCGCAGCCCCAGCAGAGGTTCCCGAGCACCCCGTCGACACCGCCCCAGCAGCAGCGCTTCCCCAGCAGCCCGCCGCCACCTCAGCTGCAAAGGTTCCCCAGCACGCCGTCCACGCAGCTGCCCCAACGGTTCCCCAGCACCCCCGAGCCTCCCCAGGCCAAGTTCATTCGCTTTCCCCAGTCGGACACGGACGCTCCTGGCGCGCCGCCTACTCGCCTGGTGCCACCGTCGCAGACACGCTTCCAGGGCTTCCTGGATGGTCCCGCCGCCGGCTACGCCACGCTCCCGGAGAGCAAGTTCTCACGCCCGACGCACCCCGTCGAGACCAGCACACCTGCGCCCAGACAGGCGGCACCTGGCAGATTCGTGGCCCCCGTGCTCAATTCATTTGACAGCTCGACGGCGAGGGTGAAGCCAGAGGAAGCCCCCGCGAGGACCACCCCCGTCAAGCTCCGCCCCGGCGACCTCATCGGGCTGTTCTCCCCAGCGCCATCGTTTCCCCCGCAGGCCAGCACACCCAGGTCGGTGCCGAAGGCTGAGACCTTCTCCACTGGCCCCCGCGCCGTCGAACACCAGCCGATCGTCGTGTCAACGCCGTCGCCCGTCGCCACCCGCCTGCGCCAGGTCGACAGTCAGCCCCCGAGGCCGGTCACGGAGACCACGCCCAAAGCCGTCGTGAACCTGAGCGAGGCGCCCCGCAGAGCGGCAGCGGCCGCCTTGGAGTACGTCACAATTCAGCAGCTTCCCAGAAGAGACGAGCTGGACCGTCCCCGGCCCTTCCCCACACCTAACTCAGCCGCAACCCCCGCCATCCCCACAACCCCCGCCGCCCCCACGGCCCTTAACGCTGCTGGCTCCCAGTCCAACAGCACGCTGGCATCACCGCCCGATTACTACTACGACTACGAGTACGACGACTACATCGACGAGCCCTTCGACTTCGTCTCAGGCTCACAGCCGTCATCGCGCGCGCCGACCACCAGCACCACGAGCACCACGACCACGCAGCGCCCCACCACCAGCGCCCCGACCACCACCACCACCACCACCACCACGCGCCGCCCCAAGGCACCCGCCAACGCGGAGCAGACCAGGATAGGGAAGACGGTACATCGCGGCGACGAGGGCAGGCCCACCGCCGCCTCACCCTTTAGCACAGCCCGCAACGAAGTCTCTTACGACGACGGCCCGGTGCGTGCGCCTGTGCGCGGTCGCCCTCGCGGCTCGGTGCACTACAGCTCAGTGGAGGAGTACGACGAGGACGAGCTCTCCACGAGGAGACCGGTGGAGGCGCCGAGCACCGAGGCCACGGCCAGGCTTCGCGCGGCCACAGAGGAGGTTACCGCCGCCACGACCACCACGACCACAACCACGACCACCACAACAACGGAGTCCATCCGGGCGAGCACCTCAGTTGAAGATGTTCCCCCCAGAACGTACCGGCCCGGTACGGCCGGCGCCAGGAAGAGGGTTGTGGTCCGCTACCGGCCCAGGTCGCAGCCGGCCGCCGCCGACCAGTCCGAAACCCCCGCGCCCCGAGCCCGCCGCCCCGGCCCGCCCCGCCGCGTTCGCCCCACCGAGTCTAGCCGGGAAGAGGACGAGCAGGTTGACAAGCACGCCGACGAAGAGGACACCCTGGAGAACACACCGCCGTCACGGCCGCGAGCGAGGCCCACCGCTGCGCGACCCACCGAGGCCCCCGCTGCCCGCTACCCCAGCACCACCTACCACCCCCGCAGAGCTCCCCCCACCACCGAG